AATATTTTATACTGGAATATAGTTTAATTATTTAAACTAGAATTCGTTTAAGGGTTGACAAATATTAAAGTGATTGGCCTTAGACTAAGAATAGTTTAAGGATATTGTTGAATGTTGAATATTGAAAATTGAATATTGAATATGAGTAAATATTGAATGATGAATATTGCAATTATTATGAATGACTGATGAACATTGAATGTGAATATAAATGTTGAATAATGCATGATGAATAATTTTTAATAATTATTGATTATCTGAACTGAACATTATGTGCATGATATCAAATGATTTGATTATGAATTTAGATTCAGTTTATATGGATGTTCGATGCATTAGATATGCTTACTCAGCTTCAACGCTGAGCGTGTAGTATGTTTTATTTGCTACACGCAGGTTAATGAAGTGACGTGATCCTGGAGGCAGACGGAGGCGAGATTGTCGGAATGGATGTGATGGTTTTGAATTAAAGAACATAAATAAATTATGTTTGTGATTATGATTGTTAAGCTTCCGCAATATTGAAAACTCTGTACTGTTTATATTATGAAAAATATTATTGTGATAAATAAAAGTGTTTGAAATGTTTTAAATTTTTACGATTACCAAGTTAATACTTTAATCTTAAAGGGGCTGCAGACCTGGACAGATTAGGGTGTTACACTTATTGTATGTTTAAGACCCACATGAAAATGAATGTAACAAGGGTAATTTACCTAAATAAGATTAAAACATAATGACTTTCTCAAAACAGGATCATATGTCTTTATTTTTCCAATATAGGATCATTGGTCATTATCTATTAGTCATTATTCAACTAAATATCCAGCATCACTTGGACATTATTCTTCCCGCTAGTCATTATTAAGTCCTATTTAGGGAATAAAAAGTTTAAGTCCTACATTAGGAAATGACTTGTGTTTTAGTCCTATTCAGTGCAAATTTCACATGTAACAATCGGGACCAAGATTGAGACAGGTCTGAAACTAGGCCTATCAGACGAGTATGTGTGGATAGATCTAACAAAAAATAATCTGGCCTGTTATTGACTCAAAACTCGACTTGAAAATACTGAATTTTGAAGAAAAGTTTTAATGACGAATCAAAAGTTGACCTAACTCGAAATACTCCGTAACTCTCTAAAAATGGGTCAAATGACTCAAATCTGATCGAGTCCAAACCCGACATGCCAACCCGCTAATGTAAGTTTTTTTTCAAAATCATATTCTTTGCTACTTGTTTTTAATGTACTCTCCGTCCTGAAACGTTCTTCTCGTTTCAGTTTATGAGGTTTGACCGACTTTATTTTCAATTTAATTTATTTGACTGTAGGTTTAAAATTTAAAAATAAAATTTATATATTTAAAAACTATATCAAAAGTTCTACAAAACAAGAGGTAACATGACTATATTATTTTATCAAATAACTAACGAAAATATGTAAAGAAAATGATTCGAGCTTATGTATTTTTTTAATTCTTTATATTGATTCATAAACCTAAAATTCACATCAGGATTTAAAGTAAAACAACCTAATAGGTTTAACACATGTTTTTGATATTTTAAATTTTTTTTACAAGATGTAAGTGTTAATGTGAATTTAAAAATTCTAAAATCAAATTTTATAACAATTGTCATGCATACTTTAAAGTTTAAACGCCTTCTTTCGCATAAATTTCTATACGCTCGAAAAAATATTCTTATAATGTTGTACGGAGTATTTTATTTGAAGATATAATTTCTCTTAATATAATTATCTATAAATCCAACGATATACGGAGTACAATTATATAACATGTGCTGTTCAGTAGCCATAGGCTTACAGTGTATGCATAATAACCACATATTTGGAAAGAGATAGAGATTGGGGTTGGGGTGGGGGTTTAAGGGGAAGGTAAAAACATCAATTTTGTGATATAGAAGTTTTATATTTTTATTTCCGAAATAAGCGCTAAAATGCATTTACATTACCAATTATGATCATGTACATTACCAAAAAAATATACTCCCTTCGTCCATAAATAAACTTTTCGTTGCGCATTACGATGCTTGAATGAAGTTATTTTCAAATCATTTATAAGAAAAATGGTGTAAAATTTAAAAATAAAAATTACATATTAAAAAACTATATCAAAAGATCTACAAAACTAGATGTAACATGACTATATTATTTTATCAAATGGGTGACGAAAATAGGCTAATAAATTGAATAAAGTTTGACCATGTGAATAGTGAACAGAAAGTTTATTTGTGGACAGAGGAGTAGTAAAATGCCTATGTATAGTGTCACATTAAACTTCTATTTAAGGAATAAATAAATGGAACTTCTAATTTGATAGTTTCTCTATGTTATACACCCATTTAGGACGATTTCTCATTCCAAAAAGACAGTGACAACTGACAACCACGTCGCTATGTAAACCAGTGTCTATAGAACCGATGTGTTATATAATAGTATCTATCTATAAATGTTCTTACAAAATCATCCTAAATAGGATCAAATATTGAAAAAGTACTAAAATAAGAATTCTATGTTTTTATTTCGAAGTAGAAATTTGAATTTTGGTAATGTGACATTGTATAAAAATATTTTACAACACTTCTTGACACTCTATAAGGTCATGATTGATATTGTATATGTCTTTTAAATCCTATTTTGAGAGTATAAACAATGAAGGCAAATTCTGCCATAGACCTAAAGTTCATACTCAATTTATGGATCTTAGTTCATGTATAGGATTAAAGAAGTGGGCTTATTTCAAAAAAAAATATCTTCATGTAAGCCCATGAAAAATGTGAGGAGATTCACATTTTAAATGTAAATCTCGAAATTATGTAAGCATCACCCAAACATAAAACTTTTGTTATAAATATGTTTCCAATATTCTTAGGAAAATGTTATTTGTACCCCAAAAATTTGTATCTCATTTTGTACACCATATGAATGCACCAACATTTTGTGTTGGTGTAATGTTAATTTTTGTTAACGCACCAATGCTTTGTGTCAGTGTAAATTTTTGTTAACGCAACAACACTTTATGACAGTGTAAACCATCAAAATGTTAGTGCATACATTTGGCGTACAAACGAGGTATAAATTTTGAAGTACATGTAAGATGCTCTATATTTTTATCCACTTTGGTTCCCATGACATTGGTTTCCAATGTCATGGGATGACCAGGGGACACTCCGGTGCCCCGTTCGTAAAATTGACGGTTCCTACCCCCCTAATCCCCCCGGCAAACCCCTCACCCCGCCTCGCCCCAAACAAACCCCCCCACCCCCTCCAATTGCACCCCACAAGTCGATTTTGACTTTGGAGTCAAA